CAGGGCATACCACAGAGTATTTGTAGATATTTATAGAACAGGGCAGGGCATACCACAGAGTATGTATAGCTATTTATAGAGCAGGGCAGGGCGTACCACAGAATATTTATGGATATGTATAGAACAGGGCAGGGCATACCACAGAGTATTTATGGATATTTATAGAACAGGGCAGGGCGTACCACAGAGTATTTATAGATATTTATAGAACAGGGCAGGGCAGGGCATACCACAGAGTATTTATGGATATTAATAGAACAGGGCAGGGCATACCACAGAGTATTTATAGCTGTCTCTTATACACATCTAGATGTGTATAAGAGACAGTAATAGAACAGGGCAGGGCATACCACAGAGTATTTATGGATATTAATAGAACAGGGCAGGGCATACCACAGAGTATTTGTAGATATGTATAGAACAGGGCAGGGCATACCACAGAGGGGGCACAAGTTTTCAGGAATGGTCACACCTGGATGTGTCAGCTCACCACTACAACAGACTAAGTCACAGATGAAGGGGGCTAGCTTTGGGCTGGGGAGCCACTGTCAAGTCACAGGACACTCGCCCAGGCAGGCTTGGAAAGGGAGGCCTCCGAGAAGAGGAGGATCTGTTTAGAGGTCAACGTCGGGCCTGGGTCTCTCAGGATGGGATGGACTTGCCTGACCCAATCAGCTGGCAGTTGGAGAGAAGCAGAGAGAAAACAGGTGAGAGAAAAGCAAGCAGAGAGCTGGTGAGGCAAACGCAGAGCACTGGCGAGCCACAGGAGCTGTGGGAGGGCTAGGGAGGGGAGGGCACAGATGTGGGTGTGGCAAGGTTCCTGGAAAAGGGGCCAGAAGGGAAAGGGGAGGAAGATGGAGGGAGAAGCCAGAGCTTCACAGGTAGTGCATGGGGGATGTGGCGGCCCTCCCCAGCCCACACACGCTGGCCTCACCCATGGCACCCAGGCAGTGCACCCACAGTTCAGACCAATGCTCAGCCCCCTTGGGCTTCTCTCTTCTCTGGTCACCCTGTCTTCCAACCCACTGGCCAGGGCCACCTCTTTCTTGGGGAGCCCCACCCAACTGCCACCTGGCCTGATAAGGAACACTGCTTGAACCAAAATGGTGAAGCTATAAGGGATGGATGGCTGGAGTGTGTGCCAGAGGCCCCTCTGAGTGGTCAGAAAGACCAGGGTCCTCTGAAGGGAGCCTGGGGAAGGCAGGGAGGGCAGGTAGCTGGATGCCACTGGCCATAGACTTGTAAGTCTTAAGAGGGGAGCCTCAGCTGGTTGCCAGGTGGGAAGGCCACAGGTTTTGTAGGTGAGGCTGGGCCCTTCCTGCTGGGAAAAGCAGAAGAGGGAGAGTCCATGGCAGGAGAGGTGGGTGGGCTCACTAGGCGGAGGTCAGCTGGGCCAGCAGGCACTGTGATCCCCTTGGCTGAATAGCACAGGAGACCCCTAGAAGCAACAGGCCAAGTTGTGTGAGCCCGCTGGCCTGTGGTAATGCTTCAGCAGGGGCCAGGGACCCTGCCTTCGGTCACATGCTAGCAGCTATGATGGTACCTGGGAGGATGGGAAGGGGGCTGTGTGTCCCCGCCTGGCCTGTGAGGTGTGTTGTGGGATGACCACGTGTATGGGACTCTTAAGGTTTTATCCTAGATCATCACTGGATTGCCGACAGATAGAGGAGGTGGGACCCTGACTATCACCACTGCTCTGCAGTGGATTCGGCTCTCGGCACTCCCAGGCTGGGAGCTGGATACCCTGCCCCGGCAGCATGACTCACACAGCACGACCGGTATGGCGTGCCCAGGATGACGTTCCTAGACCTCTGGCCTCCTCAGAGTCCAGCCCCACACAACGTCCTCCAAGCTCCCAGCCCCTACACCATAAACCATGAGCTCTATGCCCTCTCTGATGGCTCCAGAGAGCACCCATGTCTGCCAGCTTGGGCATGGAGCCTGTTCCAAGAGCCCCCAGGCTCAGCCATGGAGGCCATGGGCAGTGGTGCTGAGTCCCATGGCTCACAAGGAAGGGAGGTGAGAGAGCCACAGCACGAGGACAGAAAGAGGAAAGAGCAAATCTGCAGCTCCAGAAAGGAGGGGCAGGGAGCCTGGATCTGAGGTCCCAGGTGTGCCCCCGTGTGGAGCTGGTGCAGTGGGGCGGGAACACCATTCATGCAGCAGGCGGCGAGGCATGTACCTACCATGGCTGATGCTCCTCAGGGGCCACTGATAGTGATTCTGAAAGACAGCATCAAATCAACATGGCGGCTCACATGCATGGGTGGGGCAGGCCTGGGGTTGGGGGACACACACACGCACATGCCGGGGTGCGCACACACATGCTATGAGGCCCCACTGCCGGCATGCACACGCGGACACACATGCCCACAACACGCATACGCCTCCTTCCCTGCCACCTCCCAGTGCCCAGCACCCTCACTGGCTGGCACGTGCAGCACAGATCTGGGGCATGCAGCCACTCGGCACACTGAAGCACACACATGGGCAGAGTCGCAACACAGAAGCTCACCCACACACAGAGGCATTTGCACCAGCTCCCTGCACACTCATGCTGGCATGCTTAGAGGATCATCCATGCTGCTCATGGAGACAGTGCTTGCTCGCTAATGTTCAGCTGCCATTTCTCTACCTAAAAGCCTTCCATGGCTCCCTACTGCCTACAGCATTGAGCCCCAACAAGTCATACTCTTCAGACTTCGAAGTTCTCCACCCTATGCTCCGCCGTCCCCACAGAGCTCTTTCTCATTCTGTCTCTGTTCCCTGCTTTGGCCAGTGGCTGTCCTCAGTGAGTCCCACACTAAACCTCTGCCCACACTGCAGCTCTTTACCCAGACACCCTCCAATTCCTCGTCACATAAGCCTATCTCAGTCATGCCCCCGACTGCATTGAAGCCAGGCTGCCTTGAAGAAGCTCTCTCCCAGACTGCCCTTTTCCCCAAGGCAGGGTCATGACTTGCCAAATGTTTTGCTTGCGTTAGTAAGACTAGAGTTGGAGCAGGCATCAAACCTTATATCCCATATGTCACACCTCACCACAGACCTGGGTGCCAAATACCCTGAAGAGTCTGAACTCACGTTGGTAGTTAGCAAAGTGCTCCTACAGCCGCATCTGCAGTTAACACAGCATCCCTATGACCACTGTCTCCCTTGATCCCCACAGCCACCCTGGGAGAAAGGCAGAAAGAAATCATTTGATAGAAAGGATGCTGAGGCTCTGGAAGGGAAGGGGACTTGCCTGAAGCCCCAGGGTGAAGCAGCATCTCTGGACTCCCAGTCTTGCCCAATACCATGCTGCTTGCCTCTACCCATCTCCGTTGGTCATTACCACATCCTAGGGCAAGCCCCAATCCCTGCCTGATTTTGGTTTATGGGCGCTGGACCCACAGCCCCACTCTCCAGCCAGTTGGAAACAAAAACAGATGCTATTGTTTTCCTTAGAGAACGTGGCCAGTAAACAGGGCACACTGGGAATCAGAGTGAATGTCCTTGAAAGAGGGCCATGGGTCAACAAGTCCAAGCCAGAGAATGCAGAATGCTTTTCCTTAGAAATCTTTGGGAGTGAAGTAGGCTTCAGACACTCCTATCCCTTTCCCTGCAGCCACCCCTACCACATTGGTTTAGACTGGGTAGGGTGGTAAGGGGGTAGATAAAAAATCAGATTGCTCATGGCCCCCAGCCTCCTTCCCCAACTGCTTCTGTCCTAGCCCAGGCTTGGTGCCATTCTCACACTCTCACACTCATGTGATGTGTCACACACATCACAAACCTTGATGGTCACACAGTCACAGCCTGGTCTCTGCTCCTGTGGTCCAGTGGCTGGACACCCTCTGGGATGGCTCAAAGGAGTCAGGACTTGGAAGTGGGGACATCAGGGTAGCTGAAGGAAATCCACACACCCAGCGTATCTCAGGGTTCAGGCTCTCTGACCTGAGGTAGGCTCCCCAGGGGCTGGGAGAGGAGTTGGAGGGAATGGAGGATGGAGGACAGCGAGAAGGAGGAGGAATGCAATGTGTGGGGCGGCCGCCAAGAGTGAAAATAGAGGGAAGCGCCATGTAAGTGCTGGAAAGAAGGGGGCAGGTGGGATGAGCTCCATAGCCCCCTCCCCAAAAATGACCACCTCCAGGACTCAGCGCTCCCTGGGGGTAGGC